TCATCCCCATCTATCTTATCTGCCAGGGTTAACAGACCTTCTTGGACGGACTGGCCGCTATGTTCCATCATGGGTCTATGAGTTCTACTCTTCACTTTGGATTGACCCGAGGCACAGATTCATACACTTTGCATTCAGAGGTCATGACTATAGGCTACAGAGCTCGAGGGTCAGAGAGATTCTCAGGATTCCAAAGTCACCCATTCACCTTTATGAGGTTTGCTATGGTCAGACAGAGCCTCCTAGATGCCCTCATGGTGGACTTGTGCCACCCATAGATCTGATCCGACCATGCTTCATAGCCATTCGGCAAGGGGTCGAGCAGGACACCACGGGACCTTACTCCTACAGCTCGGCTTCTTGATGCTATCATGAAGAGGACTCTACTCCTAAGGATGGGTTACCACGAGGGATTGACTCGCATCTAGTTGTGGTTAGTGAAATCTCTGGTGCAGCAGACCGTATTTGATATTTGGGATGTCATTCTTTCAGAGATGGAGGACACACTTGCTGAGGGTTTCAGAGGTCACCGATAGCTGCCTTATGCTCACTAGATTACCTTCTTGATTAGAAAGGCAGTTACTTAGAAGTCCCCTGAGATGATGGCTGAGTACATAGGTGCTACTACAGAGTTCCCTCCATATAACATGACTCAGATGCTCCGCCACAGTAGTGCGAGGACACCTCGCCAGCCGAGTCAACACCTAGAGGTCCTAGAGATAGCAGCCCAGCAGGATGAGATCATCAGGGGCATTGCAGTGATAGAGGAGGAGGAGCTAGATGCTCAGTAGGAGGGTATGGTCAAGAGCGGCCCTAGTGACAGCTCAGATGATGATTATCAGCCTATTCCTTAGATGCCTCCTCGACCACATGATAGAGAGGCCAGTGGCTCTAGCTCTGCTCCACAGCCACCGCAGACAGATCCAGCTCTTTTTGCATTACTTGAGCGGATGAGGCAGGACCAGGCACGCCAGGCATAGGAGACAGCAGCTGCACTTGCATAGGTTCAGGCTCGACAGGACAAGTTCCAGAGGCAGCAGCAGGCCATGTAGCAGTAGCAGCTCATGATGCAGTAGCAGTTACTTGGGTTCATGCAGCATGTTTTCTCTGCTATTGGGGCCGCTCCTCCATAGACTACACCTCAGATAGGCCAGCCTGCCACCACTTCAATGACTCTAGCTATACAGCCCTATGGGCTTCAGAGTTAGGGATAGCCAGCTACTTAGTTTGCTTCACCTACAGAGCATGTGTCCTAGTGGTTTGCTTCGCCAGTGATAGCCCAGGGTCCTCACTTCACTCCCATTGTTACGGGCTTCACTCTGCCTCAGAGCTCCTCAGTGCTAGTGGCTGACACCCCAGTATCTAGGAGTCTTGGTGTGACATTCAGTGAGCTTATAGGGCAGCCTACACCGCTAGAGTTGTGAGTCCCTGTACCTACCACAGTTGCTCCAGTTAATGGGACTATAGAGATGCTCTCATCGTCTGTTGCATCATCAAAGCCACCACCTACAGTGATACCTCCAGAGTCATAGGCCACGCCAGTCCTAGAGCAGACCCAGACCGCTTTAGCTTCACTTCCAGTGATAGAGGGTTAGATCGCTCAGAGCTTAGGGTCAGAAGATGATGCTGCATAGTTCTAGATTTCTCATCGCATCTCAGTGCCCGACTCGTCTGCTCCTACCTCGCCGTTCGACCCTTAGGTTTTGGTGCTTGGTGCCAAAGGGGGAGAGGGATCGAGTATGTTAGATCTAGGGGGAGCGTTATATCTAGGGGAGCATATGGTTTATTTCTTTTGGCTCTTTATGTGTGATACATTATGCATTCACGTTTACTTTCATGCATTGAACTACATACGTGTGATTGCGATACTTATGTGACATATGTGTTGCTCTCTACTTTGATTCATATATATGTCATGTCACTTGGTTATGCTCATTTGCCTTGTTTCCGCGTTTTACTCCGATTCAAATGAGCTTTATTTCTTGTACTCATGCTTATTTCATATCTATTGAGTACATCTTGTTGGCTTGGGTCATATAAGCATGTTTAACTCCTTTGCTCTTATTGTCAAAAGCTTATATGAACCAAGCATGTTGAAAACCTCATCTCTTTTACATACTCGAGGTTGTATTGTCATCAATCACCAAAAAGGGAGAGATTGAAAGCATCTAGGCCCCTAGTTGGGTTTCGGTGATTAATGACAATACGAAATTACTATGACTAACGTGTGTTTTGTAGAGGCAATTTAAGTTAGGTCATGGTAATGGCAATTGATTGGACAATCATGGTTGTCATGCCCCTACGATGGAAATCATTTCGGTTTTCAAAGGATGGACGACAAGGTTAAGGATGGACTAGTTTTAAGTGTCGTTTGGTGTTGAAGAGACACTTAGAGTAGTTTAGGACTCTATTTTTCCTTTGGCTGTACTATTAAGGGGGGTATGAACTAGTAGCTTGACCTAGATGAGTTTAGTAAGTTAGGTGTGGTGCACACTTGTCAAATCTAACACTAGGTAGCTCTGGAGTAGCCCTAAGATCAATTGGAGCAAACTTCATTCTCATATGATTTTGAGTTGGAAGTGAATGGATGGTCAAATGACTGACCGGACGCTGGTCTGGTTATGACCGAACGTTGAAGGGTGAGTCCGGTCAATTCATTTGATCAACTGGAGCCGTCTGGTTGTGACCGGACGCTGAGTGAAAAGTGACCGGACGCTGGGTGCCAGAGTCCGATCAACTCTAGAGAGGTTCCAGAGAGGGATATTCCTGATCGGACGCGTCCAGTCGGTGCTGATCGGACGTGTCCGGTCAGTGCTGACTGGACACTGGTAAGGATCCGATAACTGACCGGACGTTGAATAGCGAAGTGACTAGACTCTAGGTGCCAGCGTCCGGTAAACATCAGTAAGGTTCCAGAGAGCAGTTTTCATGACCGGACGCGTCCGGTCAGTGCCGACCGGACGCAGGTCAGAGTCCGGTCAGAACTTAACGGCTCTTTCTGACACAGTGGCGGGGATAACTGACCGGAGCGTCCAGTCACCCTGACCGGAGCGTCCGGTCACCCCATAGAGTGATGACTCAACCTCCAAACATTATGTTTTGAATGAGGGGGTATAAATACTTACTCCACTCATCCAAGGGAGGTCTCTTGCCCATTTGTTCAGCTGAAAAACACCCTTGAGAGTGCAAAGGAGAGCAAGAGCCTAGTGAGGTGATTGAGATTTGAGAATCCAAGATTAAGACCTCATTAGTGCAAGGAGAGTAGCAAGTGTGCATCCACCCTTCTCATTAGGCTTGTCGTGGTCAAGTGAGAGTTTGTGCTTGTTACTCTTGGTGATCGCCATCACCTAGACGGCTTGGTGGTGATTGAGAGTTTGATGATCATCCGGCGGAGCTTGTGGATGACCCAACTCAAGTTGTGAGCGGTTATGGGCGATTCACCGTAATGGAGTGTTGAAGAATCAACCCGTAGAGAGCACTTGATCCTTGCGCGGATCAAAGGGGAGCTACACCCTTGCACGGGTGCTCCAATGAGGACTAGTGGGGAGTGGCGACTCTCCGATACCTCGGCAAAACATCGCCGCGTTCCTTCTCCTCTCTTTACTTTAAGCATTTACATTTGAGCAATTCATTTCTTGTCTTTACATTCTTAGAATTGTCATGCTAGAGTAGGATTGGAACTTAGGGTGCAAAATATTTTTGTACGGTAGAACAATAGGAACACATTCTAGGCACAAGGGGTGAAGTGGGCTAAGTGTAGGGTTTAATTATTGCAAAGAATTTTAGAATTAGCCCAATTCAACCCCACCTCTTGGGCATCTTGATCCTTTCAGTTGTCACGTGCTAGCCGATTGATAGATATTAGACTTTTGTTAGCTTTAGGAACATGAAGAATTTTGTTCAGATGGATCTTACTAGTATAGGAATGCAAAGTGTTATGACTGACATGGTCAATTTCCATACCTGCCCCATTGGCGGCGTGGACGTGTTTAGTGCCGGAGTACTTGTCGCGGATGGTCAACTTTTCAAGTTCGCTGGTGATGTGGTCCGTGGCCCTGGAGTCCCACTACTAGAAATACCCCCTATAGTGACGCTTTATTTATATGTTAGACACGTTATATTTCGTCTCTTCAAGATTGTAGACACGTTTTTGTAAAGTGTTAGAAGCGTCTTCGCATGGACCGTGTCAGGACTTGTAGAGACGAGTTCCTTAAGCGCGTCAAGGTGATAAAGATATGTTTTGTAAAGACGTTAATTGCATGCCTATGCATATTGATACACTTTTATATAAAGTGTCTATTTGTGTAGTTACGTTATATAGCAACGCTTCGTTTATATTATGTGTGTACTAATGTAGTCATGTTATGTAACAATTTGTATTGTGTTATAAAAAGTGTAGAGACATTCTCATAGACACATTTATATTATGTGTGTACTAATGTAGTCACGTTTTGTAATGACGTCGTATTGTGTATTAAGAAGTATAGAGACGTTCGAGTAGATACATTTATATTACGTGTCTAACAATATAGATACATTGTCTAGTAACATCATTTTGCGTTTCAAAAAAATAGAGACAATTTTATACACATTTATATTTCGTGTCTACAAATATAGAAGCATTATATAGTAATGTTTTATAACATCATATAAAATATACACATATAAAGAGACCTACTTACTAAAAATAAAGAGACTTTTACAAATTTAAACACAAATGAATTTGTATGATTAGATAATGAGAAAGTGAATCAAGAAGGCATTGCATTGAAAAAACCATTGTATTTACAAAATAAGATACTAATTAATAACTCATCAAAATGCACTCTCATAGACAAACCATATTCGTAAAGCATACGAAAAGTGGCAATATCTTACAAATATCTATATTTTTCGCTAACATCTAAAATCTATATTGCTCACTCCGAAACTTGTTGCTTGTCTTTCCATCCACATCAAGTTATCCGAAACTTGTAGCTTGTCTTTCCATCCACATCAAGTTACATGTTTCCATCATGCTGCAAAATAAGGAGATTGAGCTGACAGACATGAATTCTAATCAAACGAATATAGCAAGAATGAAACATACCACCGGCTTGAGTTGAACTCTTAAGTTGTTTAACCTACAATGAGACGTGTTTAGAGGGATGTGTAGTATAATTTTAGAAAATTACAAAATCATAAAGAATTTGTTAATATAAGAGAAAACTTACATGCGAACTAGGCCAAGCAACAACAAAGCCAATAGCATCATTCATAGTTTTGATAGAATGGAACTGTCTAGGTAACATCTCATCTCCACTGTTTCCATCGCCAAGGGCATCAACATAAACCCCAACAAATTCTTTTCCAAGCACAGTCCCAGCAATGCTTTGAGTGCTGTCACTAGTCACTAACTTTCCTTTGGCCACGACTTTATAATGGTTTCTTAGTGAAATAAGATAAACTTCCAGTTGGCTCTACCATTTTGTAAAACATAAAGCCATGATCATCAAACTTGTAATTAATTTAGTTTGGAAACAAGGGAAACAAGTACATACCGATCCGGATTGATTACAAGCTGGAGCAATAATTCTTTGAGATCTCTGCCACAGACACAATCAAACCATATCATTGATCTAGCAAGTTCAGCCATACTATGAAGGGTTACAATAATAGAAAACATAGACATACTATGTTGGTCATTATGCTAGCACGTGGAAAAGTTAGGCCTTTAGAACCCTTATCTGCTTGACCTTGATTGTCAATATGTGCCACCTGCAGTCAAAGTTGAATCCTTGGTTTTGTGACATGTAACATGGGTTATCTACCACCCAATTTGAACTTCTAATAATCAAAATAGATGTAGATGGCTATATTTCATTATGTTAGCACATCTCAGACCATATTTCACATTGGAGATTTCGGTGCATGCAAGAAAAGTCTAGCAAGCCTATAGCCAATGAACATAAATATTCCTTAAATTTTAGTGCAGATTATTGTTTTCAACTTTGTATTGAGAGTTGCAACAAGACTGTAAATTAAATCTCACATCCAGATTCCCTCCAAAAATATCATATCCAGAGTAGTAGCAAGTCTTTAGTGATGTGAAGTGTATAGCCATCACTGTGCCTAACCCATGGGTTATCAGCCACCAATTTCACATAACACAAAAAGGGCGTACCCAGTGCAAAGAGCTCCCGCTCTGTGCGGGGTCTGGGGAAGGGTGTTAGTGGCAAGCCTTACCCTCGCCTGTGCAATACGAGGAGACTGCAACTCGAACCCGGGACCTTCCGGTCACAGGCGGTAAGACTCTACCGCTTGCACCAGGCCCGCCCTTCCAATTTCACATAACACAATCGAGCGGAATTGAAGGACATCCACAAACCCGCTAGATTAATTAGTGGCAAGTTGTGGCCTTGTGGCTTTCCTCAACTTGCCCTGCCTACAAGTCTATACAGTATATACTCTAAATGGAAAGTACTCGGACAAAGCTTGCAAACTCCTTTTTCTAACAAGCAGTGTTTCTCAGCTACAGTTTGCCAAAGAAACTCATTTATTATTTCAAGAAAGGGTCCACGCAACAGTCACACAACAGTCATATGACGCATGCCAATTGTCAAGAAACGATCTAGCAGGTAGCAGCCAAGAAGTAAACATATACATTCCTGTTCATTCACACAGAAAATGAAGCTTCTTTCTGGCACAATTGGGCTACCCTTTTTTCTAGTGGCAAAGTTACGAATCTGTGATATAATTGAACAATGCTAGTTGGACAACACAAGCAAGTTCATGAAGCATAGTTATAATTGATCTGTTTGATAGTCTCTTATGCACTGTGCACATAATTGAACAGCGCATCAAGGTTTCTGAGTAGGAAATGTAACAGTAGGCTGCACTTAATTCTAGCATACCTTTGCAACCATTGACTCACGTGTTAACGATGAGCGCACGCAATCCTTGTTGACTTGACTATAATTCTGGTTCTGTGGCTCCTGCATATTTGTAACCATAGTATTTAGGACATTAGCATGTACCTACGTACTATATTATAGCAAAGAAAATAGAAATAAGAGCTGCGTTTGTTCTGATTCTTATGGCTGTGGCTACATCTCATAGCTGCAGTAACATAGAATCACATATAAGTAGGTTGAAGAAAGGTATAGTGTTACCTGAACAGAATTTTCTGGAGAGTACACATTATCTTCTGGGTCTTTAGGGTTCATGTCAATATTATTATCACTATATGTGCCATGAATACTATCATCACTACAATCCTGCTCATCATCAGTATGACCATCTATTTCGGTATGAACAACCTGCAGAAAAATGAAACATCATACAAATAGTTATTAGATATGAATAAACTCATCTGTAACAGATGGAGACATAGACATCATTTGGGTATTGAAAGCCAAAGTTCATCATGTAGAGATCTTTCCATTCTTTTTATCAAATCATCATTTGGGTACTTTTGTGACATAAAAGAAAGCCAAAGTTTCATAACACCACTCATGCATTGCATCTTATTGTCCATTGTATTTACTTTGTCACGGTACCTTCTTTCTTCTTCAGTTTCAGTAACAAAAGTAATACCTTTAGAAACTTGCACTTGACTCCAGTACTTATCATCGTAGTACCCACGTGCTTTTAATTGTTTAGCAACAATCTCATTGAACACCTCATTAAAATCATTAGCTGAAAGATTACCATTGTTCTGCTCTTCTCTTTTCTAATTCCTCAAATGATGCATCCTATTGAAATAAGCATATAGGAAGGTCACATAATTGTAACAATAATTTCAAATCCAATGTCAATCACAAGTAGCAGAAAAATATACCATTACTAACTTCACTTTGTTGGTGTTGTATCTCCCATTCTTTTTCTTATGAGCGGCGTCCCATAATTCTATCCTATGAACCTTTCCTTTCCTTCGATCTTCCTGCACAAGATATTAAATTTGAGGATCCAATCACTTCTCTTACATGATCTTTGAATTTGACAGCAATAAGAATATATATCACCGTCTCTTTCTTCAGTCTACCATGGCTTTTCCTCTCCGTTGTGTACTTGTGTGTGTAACTGTGTATTCTTCTGTTCTTTTGCACACCGAGAGTTTGTTGCACACAATTTCTGTAAATATCAGTGAAAAACAAGGAGACATTCCGCGGTCGCCTAGGCGCGACTAGGCGCTGGGCGGAGGCCTCCCGCGGGGCCTAGGGGGTGAGGCGGACATCTAGGCGGTGGGCGAAGAGGACTGGTGGAGAAGGGACGCGGGGGGCGCGCGAGGTCGGGAGACGATGGGGAGGAGCTAACGTGAGGCAACAAGGCCGGTGGGTGAAGAGGCGGCGTCAAAGGTGGCGGCGGCAGATCCGCCAAAGCAGGGACGCGTGGGGGCGGCGCGCGACGTCAAAGTAAGCAAGGTGAGGAGGTAACGTCGGCGGGGCGGCAACGATCGGGGGGAAGGAGGCGACGTCGGGCGTCGGGCGATGGCGGCGTCATGAAGCGACGGAAGCGGAAGCAAGCGCGAAAGGCAGGAGGCTGGGAGGGTGAGAGACGGGGCTAGAAGGGGAGGGGAGGGGATAAGACTTGGGCGTGGGATACTTGGGCCGTTATTGGGCCTCTCCTCTTTCTCCCCATTCTATGACCATTAATCTGCTATTTTTTCCTTTTCTTTTACGTATTTATGCATATATTAGCTACCGCCTAGAAAAACGCCTTGAAACGCCTAATCCCGCCTAGGCGCGCCTAGGCTCTAGGCGGTGGGTCACCGCCTAGAGAGCGCCTAGCGCCTAGAAAAACATTGGTAAATATAGCAAAGTTATAAAGCACAAATGTTACATAACTTTCTTTTAAATTTCTTGTAAATGTTAGATAAAAAGATATCACCTTATGTGTTTCTTGACACCAAAAGCCAAACAAGAGATCTCCACTGATGTTCATTAACAGTTCTTGGTCTACCTTGTATAATTTGTTCTAGAGATCTCTGTTCACGATTGAAATGTTCTTTCTTCAACTTAGATTTGTAGGCTCGCCACCTATTGTTTACAGTTCTTAAGATCCAATCTCTTGTAAGCTGTAGTGTTTGGCTAGGAAAGACAAATTTTGACTGTACAAAGAAAAAGTAAATAGTTGATGATCGGAACAAACAATAGTGTACTTTTCTTGCATTGTACATATTACATATACCTCAACGTCCACGATTATTTGTTCCTTGTGTTTATTGAATAGATCATTGTCCTATCTTGGAATGTGTAATGGGGCAAATGTTGGTTTTTGTGCTAGATCCCCAAGGTGTTGTCCAAGAACAGAGGCTGACCTTTCATTTGGTACACCATTTTCATCGGTCCCTACAATTACCTTTCCTCCCTGTAGTTTCGATAACTCTGAGACTCCAAAATCTCCTAAAACTTGTCGTGCCTGTCCATTCGGCCCTAAATTTATGAAATTATATCATTTGACATTGTATTTAGATGTGTCACCAAAAGAAATATCAAACTTACATATTATCTTGATTGGACTTGCACGTCGATTTGGCATGCGTGCTAATATATTGTCAACATCTGGAGGACCTTGTAAATTCTCCTCAATCTCATCGTCTGCTAAATCATCAGGCTCCTGCTGCTCCTGTCCTGCATCTTGTGCTTCAAGGTTCAAGTTTCTTAATCTTCAAGGTCCCCTTGCCATGATTTCTACTGCAAAAGAGCAGTTTTAGTTTTCTGCTCAACAAACAGATAACCAAAGAAAAGTTTTAATGCTGATTGCAAATCACATAGTACACTCATAAGATGTCGCACGGAGCCAAATAAGGTGAATGTAACAGAGAAATCATGAAGCCAAATAATTACTTGTAGATTAATTTTGTACAATATCATTTATGCTAAAACACAATGAGAACCATACATACAGGGGAAAATGAAGAACATGAACCAATCTGATAGGAAAAAGAGAGATGGATAAGTGTAAATTTACAGTGCTGACAGCACTCTAGTAATGTACATAATGGGCTCATTAGATTTTGACAGAATGGCAGAACCAAATAAAGAGAAGTCATAGAGCCATATAAGGTGATCTGGCTATCTGGGCAGTGACTCGTGTAATGTAACAGTGAAACAAAATGAGTGCAGGTTATACAGGAAACACCAAAATTTCGTGGGAACAAAATAGCCGGAACTGCATTAAGTCATGCCCACAACAGCCCTTGAACCTAGCAATTCAGGATATAGGCATTTGTATTAACAGTTCACATGCAAGTCAGAATAATATACTCACTTCCAGAGCAGAAACGTGGATGGACAGAGTTGAATAGCGTAGGACTACTGTAGGCGATGAAGCCAACAGCACCCACCGTGAACTAATTGGGAGGGAGGGAGGCAAAAACACATTTGTCTACTGTTTACTCCGAACAGCAAAACGGTCCACAATAATAGTAAAGCCCACTAAAAGGAGATTCATCGAAGCAAAAGTTTTACGAAATCTAAGAAGCCAATTCCTGGTTTGCATCTCCATATCGTTCCAGAGGCCTATGAGGTTAGGAAACAACTGCAGGCAGGACCTTGTGGCACACGGGCGTCCTGCTGGTCGACCAGCAGCCTGATCCCACAGAACGAGCTGCACGGAGGATGCCTTCAGAAAACGCTCAGAAACACGAAATGGCAACCGGAGTCGCCTGGACTCATCTTGTCACGCACACAGCACACGACGACGAGGCGAGGCGACGAGCGAGATGAGATGACCGAGGACGCACAGCGGCACAGGCCCGCAGGCGGAGGTCAGGCGAAGGCCGGGATGGGAGAGGTCCACCCGTCCATGGATTTCTTGACATCTAGGGGAGCAGAGGAAAGGGTGAAGTGTGCTCACCGATGGCAGATGTGGGCGAATCGACGACCGGTGGATGGCCTGTGCCGTCCGAGGAGCGGCCAAGCGTCGGGCGGTTGATGCGTCGGCGTCGAGGAATTGGGCGTGCGGGTGTGCCGCGTGCTGCGGACTCAGATGTGGAGATGGGGAGGGTGAGGGGGAGGGTAATAGATGCGCTTTTTCCGTAAATCTGACGGCGTGGGGGTGGTTTAGGCGCCAAAATAAAATGTAAAGCACTCCTATTACGCGGTAAGTTTTTTCAATTCTGGCGGCAGAAAAAATATGTTCATTCGAAATTCCAATCTGAATTTTCTTGTACATATGTTAATGAATATATATGAACTTTGCACTTTGCATTTTTTTATTTCTATAAGCACCGAATGTTTTTGCTGGATTTATGTTTTCAAAACTCTTTTTTACATATGTTAACGAACATCTAGGGAAGTACCATCAAATTTGTATTAATCTGCAACAATATTCAGATTGTATTGAAATAATTTCCAAAAAAATAGCAAAATATTTTTTTAAAATGCATTTAAAAGTTCTACACTATAAAAAAGAATTTGGAGCCACGTCTTTTTTTTTAAGGACGACTCTATATTAAGCTGCCCTATAAATAGTGTTCAAACAAGTTGTCTCTATAAATCCATTTATAGAGGTTGCTGATGTTATCAGGCACTCCTACAAATAGTTTAATTTGTAGGGGGCTCTATATCTGGCCGCCCCCACAAATCGAATTTGTATGGACAAATAGATGCCGAATAGTAAAAATTAAGCACTAAAATACGATATTTTTTAAACGACCTCGGATGGAGAAATAACAAAAATAAAAATTATAGATCTCGAAAAGTTATAAAACTTTGTTGTTTACAACTTTTTCATTTGAAATCATTTAGTGCTTTAAAATACTGTTTGAAATTTAATTTTAAAATTATTGAATAACTCTGATTTCTCTTTTTAATCTCTGGCTAAAACTTGTAACTAGTCTTTCTTTCTCATACTAACTTCAAATTTAATAATTTTTTTCTAAAATTTTTTAAAATCATGCTCTATCAATTTATTATGTTTTTACGGTTATTATTTTGTCCATCATTTTTCATGTGACTGTGTTTTATCTATTTTGAATTTTGAATTTCAAAAATGGCAACTATAAACATCGTTTTGAAATATTAAATAATTTCAGTTAGAAAAGTCATGAACATAAAAGTTGTAGAACTCATCAAGATATACAACTTTTATTTTGATCATTTTTTCATCCGATAAAGTGATAATAACATTGTTCATAAAATTTACATATCGCTTTTATAGTTTTATAAACTATCAGACGAATATGTAAAATTTGTGAACAATGTTAGTACTACTATGTCAGATGAATAAATGATCAAATGACCAAAATAAAATTTATAGATCTCAGAAAGTTATAAAACTTTGTAGTTGATAACTTTTTATTTGAAATCATCTTATCAAGAAAAACTATGTTTGAATTTCTCAAATTTGAAATTCAAATTATGTAAACGACCTCGGATGGAGAAACTACCAAAATAACAGTTGTAGATTTCAAAAAGTTATACAACTTTGTAGTTGACAACCTTTTCATTTGAATTCGTTTAGGGTTTAGGATTTTCTAAAATCTTGCTCTATCAATTTATTATGTTTTTACCGTTATTATTTTGTCCATCATTTTTCATGTGACTGTGTTTTATCTATTTTGAATTTTGAATTTTCAAAAATGGCAACTTCAAACGTCGTTTTGAAATATTAAATAATTTCAGCTAAAAAAGTCATGAACATAAAAGTTGTAGAACTCATCAAGATCTATAACTTTTATTTTGGTCATTTTTCCATCCGATAAAGTAGCAGTAACATTGTTCATAAAATTTATATATCGCTCTTATAGTTTCATAAATTATCAGAGGGATATGTAAAATTTATGAACAATGTTATTACCACTATGTCAGATGAATAAATGATCAAATAATCAAAATAAAATTTATAGATCTCAAAAAGTTACGAAACTTTGTAGTTGACAACTTTTTTATTTAAAATCATCTTGTCAAGAAAAACTACGTTTGAATTTCTAAAATTTGAAATTCAAATTATGTAAACGACCTCGGATGGAGAAACTACCAAAATAAAAGTTGTAGATTTCAAAAAGTTATACAACTTTGTAGTTGACAACTTTTTCATTTGAATTCGTTTAGGGCTTCAAACAATCAATTTGAACTTGGTTTAAGATAATACGTGGGGAAAGAAAATCAATTAATAACACAAGTGAGTATTGGGTGGAGTGGTTAGAGAAGAGAACCCGTGAACCAACGTCATGGGTTAGAGCCTTGGCAGTTGCATTGCCCAACTTATTTTTTAGCCTGAAAGTCTGGAGGTCGAAACCTCAATGTCTGTATTTTTTTCAATATTTGTTTCCAAATTTTTCTCATGCTCAACAATTCCATAATTTTCTCACTCAACGATTCAAATGAAAGAAAACACATGTTTTTTCCATATTTTTTTCCAAAATTTTCTTACGCTCAACTATTCCCAAATTTGCTCACGCAACGACTCAAGCAAAAGAAAATACATGCTGCTTTTGTGCAAACTTTCAATATAACCGGCCTCAATTTCTCAATCATACGACCAATTTGTAAATGAGTTTATGACTATGTTTGTCCAAAATATTCTCACTCAGACCACTAAATATAAATGAAACTTCTTAAAAAAACACATTACAAAGAAAACACATTCTAGCAGGCTACAGAAACTCATGCTCCTCGACCCATCTTGCAGGAACACATCCTTCACCTGCGTGAATAAGAGCAACACACACCCTCCTGCGTAGACAAAAGTAACCTGAAACAAGTATGCCTTGAAATAAGTGCAAACTGAATCACTCTTATTATATTTACGTATGTTAAATTAGTGACACTCAATTGTCCACTATACTCTCAAAAAGAAGCCTGATAGTACCTGAAAGCCAGTTAGTCTAATTTGCTTCATCTGCTGGCAGTTCATCATCACCCATGTCAAAATTATCTCGTGGCTTAACTCTTACCACAGCATTCCATCCTTCAGCTTTTGGGTCTTCAACGTAAAAGACTTGCTCCACTTGTGAAGAAAAGACAAAGGGATGGGCACATCTTTTTACCATTCTTCAGGTGAAATGATTTTGTTGCCGCACCACATGATGGGCATACATATTTACCACCTGTGCTCCAGCCATACAGTTAAGCTAATGCAGGAAAATCATTTATAGTCCACAATAGTGCAGCTCGGAGAGGAAATTTCTTTCGAGAAGAGGCATCACATGTTTTCACTCCTTTCCACAATTCTAAGAGCTCATCAATCAAGGGCTGCAAGTATATATCAACATCATTCCCTAGAGAATCTGGTCCTGGAATGATCATCAACAATAGTAAAGATGTTTGCTTCATGCAGATCCAAGGTGGCAAGTTGTAAGGAACTAGCATTACAGGCCATGTACTGTGCTTTGAACTCATATTCCGAAAAGGGTTAAATCCATCACTTGCAAGACCAAGGCATACATTACGAGTATCGGCTGCAAAATCAGGATTTCTACGATTAAAATCTTCCCAAGCTTCACCATCTGCTGGATGTCATAGTTTTCTGTCTTTCGTATGTCCAACATCATGCCATCACATGTCTTCTGAAGTTTTGGCAGTTGAAAATAA